CACAGGACCTTGCCTTCCAGGGCCTACCTGCCCACATGTTCTTCCAAGTGTGGCTTCAAGCCATTTACCCAAACAAATCTCATAATGTATTCATTTTAAATTTTGGAACATGAGAGTTGTGGTTCCCTCTGAACAAATGAAAAACACTGGGTGTCCTGCCCCACCTTCCCACCCACTGGCCCAAAAGTCCCCGCAGAGAAGGCATTTCCACTGTTCTGAAACCCAAAATAAATAGAAAGAGCATCAAGTGTGAATGGTACGATGGCGTGGAGCAGGCCCAAAAACCCGTCAGGCAGAGGTCACTGTGTGGGACAGTTTCAAGGTGTCATTTGAGTGAGGACGTGCTGCCGTGGTGGAGCTGGAGTGGTGCCACCTGCCACAACTTGTCCAGGAAGTTGTCCAAAGCTGGCCCTTGTGCTTGTGGGTCTCCACCACCACCTGGCTTGGGTGGCTGCTATTATCAAAGGGGTCACCGGGCAGGATCTGCCAGTGGTCGAACACATACTGGAGGAAGGCCTGACCACCCGTGTTGGACCACAGGTCGGCAGTGAGGCCCGAAGGACTCATTGATGGGCAGGTAGGCCTTAACCACGAACATAGGGGTGCCAGCCACCTGGGACTCCTTGAAGACATGGCCTCGCTTCCTGTTCAGGACATCATAGATCCCCCAACCACTTGTTCTGGACACTGGATCTCCGCAAGGTAGATGAGCTCCATGAGGCACAGCTGTGCTGTCAGCATGCTGGCTTATAGGCAGCACCATGCGTGGGGATGATCTGACCACCCCCACGGTGGATGACGTCGGCATGCAGGGTCACGTCATGGACATCAAAGCACACTCCATGCATATTTTCCTCACATAGCACCCCCTCCTTGGTGGCCCACTGGAAGCTGGCCACCACACTATCCTTGATCTCACTGACATACTGCAGCCCCTTGGTGATGTTGGTGAGGATGTTGGGACCAGTGCCATCAGGGCCAAAGCACCAGATCTTGTGGTCCTCTGCCACGTCCCACTCATATTTCTCAGCCAGGTAGCAGGCATGCTGCTTTAGCTCCTGGTGGGCAGACATCTCACCTTTGTCAATGTCCTCAGGCAGGCAATCCGGGAAGGGTCATGCCTTCATGTACAGGAGGTTGTGCTTGTTGGGGGACTTGAAGAGGCACATCAGGTTCGACTCATCACTCACTGTCTCCCAGTATGAGACCACAGGGTCCGATTTCTTGATGGGGATGCAGGTGTGGTCCTCCTCCAAGTCCTTGAGGCAGATCTCCAGGTGCAGCTCTCCAGTGCCCGTGATGATGTGCTCTCCCGACTCCTCAATGATGCATTGCACCATGGGGTGGGACTTGGCGAGCCGCTTCAGCCCGTCCACTAGCTTGGGAAGGTCAGCCAGATTCTTGGCCTCCACAGCCACTCTGACCACAGGGCTGAAGCTGAAATTCATCACACGCATGCTGTGGGCATGCTCAAAGGTGGTGATGGTGCCAGTCTTCACTAGGAACTGGTCCACACCCACCAGTCCCACAATGTTCCCACAGTGTACGTCCTCAGTGAGCTCCACATAATGGCCCATTATCAGGATGGTCCTCTGAATGGGCTTCAGGTAGAGGTCCTCCTTCTTCCCAGGGGTGTAGTTAGGGCCCATAATCAGGACCTTTAAGCTGATGGACACCAGCCCTGAGAAGACGCGTCTGTTTTGGAAATGTACATCATTTGGGGACCTTTAGGGTCACAGCTTTTAATGCCCATGGGGGCCTCATCATCTAGGAGCCCCTCATATAGCAGCTCACAGCAGTACTTCTGTGTTGTGACAGGCAATGGCAAGTGGATCATGATCATCTGTAGCAGTGCATCCCCGGCTGGCAGCCAGCGGCGCCTCACAGCCTTGAGCAGTGGCTTGCCCTTTTTGTCTTTGTCCTCGCTGTCCAGCTTAATGTCCAGCTCCTCAATCAGCTTTGCCATCTCCTTTTTCTTGAAGTTCATGATTGCATCAAACACCTTGAAGATGGGGTCCAGGATGAGCTGACAGAAAGTACGAGGCAGCTTCTTTCCATCAGGACTGGTGGCTGACTTGCTAAACTTGCTGTTGGATGGATCGAAGTACCGGTCATCCCACAGCTTCTTCATCATGTTTTCCACCTTCTTGGCCCACTTAGCAGGCTCCAGCTGGCCCTCCCCCTTGGCAGTGAACTTGGCCACGTACATCTCTGTGAACTGCTTCAGGGTGAAGGCCCAGCCATGCAGGCCTGACCCAAAGCCCACAGTACCAAGGACAGGGTCATTCATGGTGTTGCCCATGGGGCTGCTCTCGCCCTCGCCATAGGTGAAGATGATGATGTTGACGTTCTCCACTATGCCCTGGAAGGTCTGGTACAGCTCCTCAGGCTCCAGCTGTAGCTCTAGTAGGGCACGGTCCATCTTTATCATCATGAGTACAGTCTTGATGCGCTCAGTGACAGCCTCCTGCAGCACTGTCTCTGCACACACATCTGACACACAGTCCACCACCACTAAGATGCCATCAGTGATATGTAGGGCAACTGTCACCTCTGAGGAGAAGTCCATATGCCAAGGAGAGTCAATGAGGTTGATGAGGAAGCCAGAGCCATCCTTGCTCTGCTTGATAAAGTTCAAGTCATTCTCAGAAAGTTCATAGAAGAGGGAGATAGCGGTTGACTTGGTGATACAGTGCTTTTGCTCACCCTTCCGGGTGTCAGTGAAGCTGGTCTCACCAGTGCGATTGGATGTGATGATGCTAGCTTTGCACACCAGGGAATCCATCAGCGTGGACTTGCCGTGGTACATGTGGGTGATGACAGACATGTTGCAAATGTTGGCCTTCTTGTCTGTGATGGCCTGGATCTGGTCTACAGTGAAGTACACCATGGTGGCAGATGTTGCTGGATTCTCCCAGACAGATCTGACTGAACTGAGCTATGCCAAGGATGGCTGTGATGATGGCAGAAGAGCCCTGGCTTCATTCTTTTCTATCAGCTATACAGCAGTCTCCAAAGTACCACTGCCATATGACAGTGCATCACCTTCTTGAAAAGTGAAACCAATTCATGATACAGCCAGACAACATGCTCTGGCACCCAGATAGGTTGTTCAGCATTCTGTGTTCAACATAAGCACAACTTTGACCCCAACTTAGTTTTTTTTTTCTTTTACCTGATTGAATTATCTTTTTGTTGTTGTAATTTTAGCCTTAGTATAATTAAAAAATTTAATAGTACATACTGCCAAACGAGGTCTATTATGAGGTCTATTATGAGGATTGATTCCCCATTTTGTTTTTGAAATTTAATTTTGAGCATACATGAGCTTGTTTAACAATTTTTAGGACTTTAGGGTTATGAGGAATGTCCTTCATAATGGAAATATGAAAGGTTTTACAAAACATTTAGAAAGCAGTACTTGTATATGCTGGGCCATTGTCAGTCTTAAGTGCCCATGGACAGCGAAAATACTAAAGGCATCTAAGAAATGAGCAATGACATATTTAGCTGCCTCACCAGTGTAGGTAGAAGCAAAAATAAACCCTGAGGAAGTGTCCACTGAAACAAGAATCCAGCAAAAATAGCCAAACTCAGAAATGTGAGCGACATCCATCTGCCAGAAATGGTGTGTTACTCTCGGGGATTGACCCCCATAGAAAGTGAGAGAAGATGTATTATGCATGAGGAACATTGTTTAACAATGTTGAGCCTGTTCTTTGGCTAAATGGAACTGTTTGTGTAAGGCAGAAGCATTTTGATGACAGCTGGCATAGAAGGCAGGATCCTGTTGAATGGTATCAGAGGTAATAATAGTGACAGCAGCCAGAACTCTGTCTATAGCAGCATTTTCCTCAGTGAGAGGCCCTGACAACTGGGAATGGGAATGTAAATGACCATTAAAACGGGGAATCCTGCAAGGCCCATATGACAGCTTGTAATTTAGTCTTTTGTGCAAAAGAGACAGCCAGATCCTATATTCTGAAAGAGGAGGTCAATATATAACTTCCCCTACTTGAAGATAATCCATCCATGAAAACAGAGATTCCTCCTGCTATGGGAACTAAATTTATTTTTGTTGAAAGACAAAGACTATCAATAATACCAGGAAAGTTAGCCAATGTAGATTACGAAGAAGATGAAAATTTTCATAATTACTGTTGTTGAACCAAAGGAAAGGAACCAATGAGAATTTGTGCCTCACAACCAAAGCACTAAACAGCATGCATTCACCCATGTGCACTCAGTTCTGCCACAGCATCATAAAAAGGACTAATAGTTTTTTGTGGAGCATGTGGCATGTATAGCCACTGTAAAGGGCCTTGAGACTGCCAAAGAACTTCAGTGAGCATATGCTGAGATGGGAAAATAATATAAAGCATTGACAGAGATGGATCAACTCCAGAGAATTGAGCATTAGAGAGCCAGGTGAACTATATCTAAGGCAGATTTAGTGTCTGGGGTAAGTGCTGTTGGAGAGGTGGGGGCCAGATCCCCATTGAGAATGTCAAAGAGAGGGCCTAAATCATGAGTTGTTAGCTTAAGAGCTGGGCATATCAAATAATAACAAGTGAAGTCTGAAAATCAGTTAGGGTTGCAAGATGAATAACCTGGATCTGAATAGTGTGTGGCACAATGTGTCTTAGTTTAGTTATATAAGGCAACCCAGATTTGTAAAATGTACCCTAGTTTGCATCTTTTGGGGGGCCTGCCATTGCCTAAATGAATCAGAATGGTTATACATTATGATAATGCTAAATTTAAGTGACTGCTTAAGTCTCAACAGAAGTACTGTTCTCAGATGGTACTTCAAACTTTTATACCTGCTTGTAAAAAAACAAAAACTTTTCTATACCAAATAATAATCAGAACTGCCCTCCTCCACATAAAAACAAAAACAAACACATGCAAAGAAAAAATTTAACACAACTATAAATGATTCAACTAAAAAAAAGCAATAAAACAGGCAGTCTTTATATGAATCAAGAGAACACCAAGGACTATAAAAACTTTTAAAATCAACAACATATCCTGTATATGAGGTCAAAAAGAAATCTGTAATTAAATCAAGACAGTTTTTATTAGCTGTATAATCTAAAAAAAGGATGAAAATTTGGACTATAACTCTAAACCACAAAAGTCATCACTGAAATTCACAATTCTTGAGGCAAGGGGCAAAGTTTCTAATTATGGGAAATGTTTTCTTTAATCTTTTTAAATATTTCCACCAATGTAAATCCTACTAAATATGAATTTTTCATGTAATGAATAAGGTAAGCAGATGGATGAGCCTGAGGGACTGGCAAAATGACTTCAGCCACAAACTCTTGACACAGGGTCAGACTATTTGCTGTGTCCTGTGGCAAACAACACTGCTGGAGGCAGCTCATAGGGACCTGATGATTAATAGAGGGTACACTAAAGGCAAGCCACTTTTTATCTTGAGAATGGAGAGGTTAGTTTAAAAAAAAAGTCTTTTAAATCAATCACCTTAAGGTAAAACAATAAAGGCTTCTTTTTCTATTATGAGAATTGGGCATTCTAAGTGTTATTGGCGAATTCTAGGTGTCCGCCATCATCTGTTTATTGATCAGTGTATGAGCCGTTGTAAGCTTCTCCTGAGTGAGGGGTCATTGATCAACCCAAACAAGGTCATCAGATATTCAGAATTGCCCTCCTCCACATAAAAACAAAAACAAACACAAGCAAAGAAAAAATTTAAGACAACTATAAATGATTCAACTAAAAAAAAAAAAGGCAATAAAACAGGCAGTCCTTATAGGAATCTTGAACAGCATCCATTGGGTCAGAGAAGAAATGAAAGCCCCTCCTGAAAATATGAGGATGAGTAACCTATACCAAAATAGTCTTGTTATAGAAAAACTGGAAGAGGTGCTTTCCCTCCCTGTTTTCACCAAGCCCTTGAATAGGAAGGAAACCTTATTGCAACATCTATCAAGTCACCAAAGAGTTAAGACTATCCCACAGTGCCCCCATATCCTGTAATATGTCAGGATCTCATACATTGAGTGGTATGTGGGGGAGGACTTGAGATGAGAAATATCCAGAATGGCCTTCTGCATCCCTCCAGGTTAGTAACTTAGTGCTTCTTCTAGGGCAAGAAACATTGCCTACCCCTATAGATCTGTAGTGGCCACATTCAGACACCATGCTGTAGGCCAAAGACCTTGGATGATGACTGAAATATGCACTCTTGTGTCTAAAAGACCTTTGAATGTTTTTCATTTAGTAATCAATTCCAGCTCAGGATGATCTTGCTTGATCTGTTGAACCCAATAGGTGTCAGAAGACCCAAAACCCTTGGGTCCTCTTTCCTTAGTTATGGATTTCCCAGTTGTTGTCAAAGAATGATCAACTGAGTGATATGGGAGTCTGGG